GTCCACTTGTCCCTTTTAAAGGTATTTATTGTCTCGGTTCATGTTTACTCAATAAAGTCAACAGAGTAACAAAAGAAAAAAAACAAGCCAAAAGAGGCTAAAACATCCACTGAAACCCTGTCAAAAGGAGAGACTAAATCTTGGCATATTGGGGGGGTGTGTGTGTGTTTTTGCCCAAAGAACTGCCCAACATGTGTGAAAATCTCTTTCACTCTATTTCCGAACATTATAGATTCACTCAGAGAAATTTAGAAACAGGTTGAAAGAGATCTTTGCGCGCATTGGCAAATGGGTGCCCCTGAAGAAGGCCACGGAATAAATTAGCCAAAACCTATTGAGCATTTTTTAAAGGAATAAAACCACTTTCTTCCAATGCATGTATAACAATAAATTTAGATTTGCTGTGGGATGGTAAGGAATTCTTGGAAGGTGGATGACGAAGATGGACTAAACTGGGAAAAAAAAACAGAAAACACTTAAAATGCATCCAGCTTAGGTCATATAAGGAGAAATCAGAAGTACAGATTATTACACCTGATCACAGAGAACTGCAGGGAGAATTATCCTTGTCAAGCAAGGCTCCACTGTATGTTCCAATTCCTCTAAGCATGTGCCTCGCAGTCTGAAGGAATGTGTATTCCCTATCCTTGTCAAGCAAGGCACCACTGTATGTCCCAATTCCTCTAAGCATGCGCCTCGCAGTCTGAAGGAATGTGTATTCCATCTTCCTTATCTATTGATATGATGATGTTGCCTTCCTGGGCTTAAATGTCAATCCCTGGCTCCCTGCTGGCTTTACAGTATGTTTGACTATCTTCACATTGTGTTCTGGTGACATTCCTAAACCTGGCTATCTGGTGGTTCAAAGGTGAGAGACAAGAAAAACCTTAGACGAATACAGGTTGCATTCTTCTAGGTAATTCTAAAAGTCTTTCTGCTTCTAAAACTGTGTTGGTGCCTATCCAGGTATCATCATCAGAAAGCAACATTCTCTGGAGAAGACCATAATGCTGGGTAAAGTGGAAGGCAGTAGGAAAAGAGGAAGAACTAATACGAGATGGAGTGAGTCCCTAAAAGAAGTCACAAGCTTCCGTCTACAACGGCTGAGCAGGGTTGCTGAGGACAGGATATTTTGGAGCGAACACCTTCATAGGGTCTCTGTGAGTTGGAGGTGACTTGACGGCATATAACATCAACAGAGTTGACACTGACTTATCAGGGCTTGCTTGCCACCATGTTTCCTGGGAGGCGTTGTCTCAGTGCCCCTTAGGCTTTACAGAGGGCACCTCCTGAAGAACTACAACTCCCAGGATCAACAGTGAACCTCAAGGATCCTGTATCTGCAGCGCTGCCTCTTTAAGATGGAAGGAACATCAGGCGGGCTCTGGAAGATGATGAAAAGAGGTTTTAGTGTCAAATGTAATCAATCTTGGAAAGGGCTCTTAAGAACTAAAAAGGACGATAATGAACACCAAACCTCTGCAGCAGCTACAGTTGACCTTCAAAGCCTATGTAATCCCTAAGGTTTGAGTGGCACTAATTAGTAGCAAGCAGTGATGGAGAACAGCAGAGGTTTTCACAGTCGATCAGAGGGTCCTCTTAGTAACACTTGGTTGGATCATAAAGCCTTTTTAGTAGCCACCAAATCCTGCCTCTCGGGGACAAAAAGAAAACAGATGAACGGCACCCGTCCTCTTTTCCCTTTGGGTTCCTCCCTACACCTTTCTTGAAGCCTGGGAAATTGACAGCCAACAAGGGAAATTGACGGCCAACAAGGGAAATTGACGTCCAACAAGGGAAACTGACGAATACTTTGAGATGGTCTATTACAGAGAGAAACCAGCTTGGCCTGGACTGTGCTTGAGCTTCCTCTGTGATCTTTCATTAGCTTTTGTTGGCTGGTTGGTATGTAGAACGCAACTCCCAGAATCCCATGCAGCATGGCGTGCTTCCCTCACCTCTTGCGGTCCTCCTTACCTTATCCCCTTATTTTACTTGTAACAAGAATGGATCCAAGCAGGACCTCCTAAGGATTTTTCTCCCAAATATTATCCTGCTGCCCTCCACTATATTTCTACATCATGCTACAGTGATTAAAGTGTTGGACTAGGACTGAAGAGTCTTAGGTTCGAATCCTTTCTCAGCTATGTAGCTCAGTGGATGACCTTGAACCAGTTGCAGTCAACCGGACCTACCTTACAGGGTTGTTCTTTGGAAGACAAAGTGAGGATAAGCCACCTTGGGTCCTTCTAAGGAGAAAGGCGGGATAAAAATATTTTAAACAAATAAAATGATGCTGGTTAACATCACTGCAAGGCAACTGGGATGTCAGTGTAAATATGAATAAATCAATTTACTGGATTTTGGAGTTTTTGTTTCCTTCCTCATGTACTAGCAGACAGTGTTGTTTTGCCTATCTGTGCTTCAGCGCTCACACCTGAATATTGGAAACACAGACGATTTAATATGTTTTTGTGAATTGGTTTCGGTCTCTGGCTGTGGGAGCCAGAGGTTGGGAGTTCGATTCCCCCACTGGGGGGGGAAGAGCCAGCCTAGGTGGCCTTGGGCCAGCTGCACACAGTCCAAGAGCGCCCCCTAGTGGAAACTGCTTCCGACTACTGTTTACCAAGAAACCCCCGTAAGTCAGAATGGACTTGATGGCACAGGAGAACTGGGATGTCAGTGTAAATATGAATAAATCAATTTACTGGATTTTGGAGTTTTTGTTTCCTTCCTCATGTACTAGCAGACAGTGTTGTTTTGCCTATCTGTGCTTCAGCGCTCACACCTGAATATTGGAAACACAGACGATTTAATATGTTTTTGTGAATTGGTTTCGGTCTCTGGCTGTGGGAGCCAGAGGTTGGGAGTTCGATTCCCCCACTGGGGGGAAGAGCCAGCCTAGGTGGCCTTGGGCCAGCTGCACACAGTCCAAGAGCACCCCACTACTGTTTATCGAGAAACCCCCATAAGTCAGAATGGACTTGATGGCACATGAGGTTGATGATGAACTTGGGCTTACAAAGGTCTGAAGAAAAGGAAGACCTCTTTCTACACCTATTCATAGCTTTGTAGAAGAGAGAATCTCCTAGCTTGTTGCATGAAATTGCATCTGCTGAATAGAGAAAGCACAGGAAGATTTCCTATTTCATTTTGCCCTCATTGTTTATTACCTCCGTTCACACAGAGAGTGTCCCTGACAATGATAACCAGGAATAGGTCTTTTTTTTCCCTGTGAGCACTATTAGCCAGCACAATTAAATAAATTAGTTTCCATGCAGGCAGCTTTAAATTACTCAGGATGACAATGGGTATTCTAATTAGATTACTGTCTAGAAGTTAATTAGAATTTCCTGATGACGTTGGGTAATGGAGCGCTGTTTGACTGGTCTCCCTGGGCTTGCATGTTCTGTTAGCCTAAAAGTGGCATTATGTCTGTGTGTAAGGCTTTGGTGGGGGGATTGGCAAATGCTGAGGGTCCCAGGTGGGTCCAACTCATCCTAGTATATTGATCCACTGGTCTGTTTTCAAAAGAAGCTCAAAGTCGCATGCAACTGATGCACTGAGCTCTCCTACTACTTCTGTGTAACTGCCACTGGTCCTTCTACTTCTGGGACAAATCACACACTAAAGGCAACAAAGAGTTCCTGCTCTTGCAAGGTTTCCCTTCCGGACACCCCATTTCTTCAAAGCTCCACGCTCAAGCAATTAGGCTTGTGAACAAAACTCCACTTTTGAAGTGCTCCCAATTGCTCTGTTCTAAACAAGAAGGCTTCTTTGGTTTCTGCCCAAATGATATCCCTTCTCTTGCTTCTAGAAGAAGGGTTATTTCCAACAACTCCACTTTTCACGTTGCTCTCCTATAAGTTGAGTGTGCCTTCTGGAATTTTCCTGGCAATTTCCCCTCCCCTTGGAAACTATTAAAACCAGCAATTCTTTTTTTATATGCAAGAATCAGAAGGAAAAATAAATATTTCCCATGCAAAGTGAGTTGTCAAAATTGGAAACTGAACCCATTCACACCCACCCACCCATTTAGAGCCGTTTTTGCTGGTGGATCATTTTGTCAACTCTTCTTTGAAGCAGGCCAACAGAAGGGGGTTAAGGAAAGATGTGCTTCTGTCAAAGACTAATCCATTGCAACTATTGCATCTTTTTGAACTGGAGCTGCACTACAACCAAGCAATCACATGATACACGTTTATTTGCGTATCTATTTGATATTTCATTAATAGACCACCCCGTTAAAATACACGCACGACTCTGAATGGTGGAACAAGTTAAAACTTGCCAATCTCAGAGACCCTAGGTGGCAATACATATAACAACATGGCAATACAAAGAAGAAGAAAAGTCTTTAAAAAGAAGAAGAAAACCCAAGAAACTAAAAAATAAAATATCAACAGCCTATGGAAGTCAGGTTGTTAGACTGTCTTATCAGTTTCAATGAGAATTGATGTCCCAGCGAAGATGAACTGACTGGAGTTGAGGCACTAAATCCAAATTTAGCTTCTCCTGGAAACAACCTGAGGAAACGAACAGGACTTCAGAGTCCGCCCTTAATTTTCCAATGCCTCACGTCTACCCTTAACTAGAACTAAAAATGGGCTTTAGGGAAAGAAAACATGATTTGAAGTCCTAAAATTCTAGATCTTCGACGGCTTTTAAAGCACGTCCAGCCTCCCTCAGGACGGAGGGCCCTCAAGCCCCGCCCCCTTCGCCTCGCCCCGCCCTCTCCTGCCCAACCGCTGGCCTCCCTCCTCGCTTCTTCCCGCCAGAAACCCCCTTTTTTTTTCCCGCCCATTTCCCTGAGGCGTCGGCCGTTTGTTTCCGTTGGAGGCGCCCTGCGCGTGCGCGCGTCTCGCGCCCGCTTCGCGCTCCTTCCACTTCCCTCCCTCCCCCCCACAGCGTGTGCCTTTCCGGCCGTTGATTGGACGCCGCCCTCTCTGGCGGCCGTTGGCGGCCGTGACGTCACCGGTGGGAGGGAGGGCGGGGTTGTTGGCAGGCGCTTCCCTTCCGCCATGGAGGCCGGCCAGGTCAAGGTGGCGGCTTTCTACCCTTACCCTTACCCGGCGCCTATTCCCGGGCCCGCGCCCCCGCCCGCCGTCGTTCATGTCCGGCAGCCCCGGGACTACGTAGTGTGGTCCCTGCTGAGCACTTTTTACATGAACTTCTGCTTCCTGGGCTTCGCCGCCCTTGTCTTTTCCATCAAGGTGAAGAAGGCACAGAGACACACAAAAACACCACACACACACCTGAGGAAAGCCCTCCTCCTTGAGGTTCCACCTGGGTCCCAATGGTGATCAAGCCCTAATAATGATAGTATTAACCTGAGAGCCGGAAGGGATCCAATAAATATAAATGGAACCAACCTTGAGGTTCCAGATGTTCTTTTGGACTACAACTCCCAGAAGCCTTCGCCACCCCCTTGGGCTGGCCAGGATTCCTGGGAGTCGTAGTCCAAGAACCACCTGGGGAACCATTGAGCTAGAGATGATCAAGTCCATCCCCTGTCAGGAGGCGCCCGTGAGGGGAATCGAACCCCCAACCACTGAGGGATCGGGCAGTTTTTGCCTTCTGTTTTTCTCTGGCAGCCATTGTTTCTCCAGGCCACAGGCGACATCTTGGGGGGCAGGGGGCACAACCCCTCCTCACTCTCTTTTCTAGGCAACATTGAGTGGCTTTCCATCAGCTTGCCAGGCGCACAGAAAGGCAATGAATGCTGATTCTCCCGCCTCGACGCCCATGGAGGTCACTGCACCAAATGAGGAAGCCAGAAGCGCTGCCCTGCGCGACGGTCGATAAGATGACCCGACGGTCCCTGGACGGCCACAAATGACCAGTCATTTCTAACATTTGGACCTGTTTTTAGTTTTTACCTATATTCATAGTTCTGATTTGGGCGATGCTCTTGACACAAATATTCATCTGCAACAGAATGGGTTTTTTTGCATTTCGGCGGTAATTTCTCTGACCCATCTTTCACTTCGTTTTGGATTCCTTGGGAGAACCAGGCACGGTGACGGGCAAAATTACTTACTGGGTTAATGGCGGGAAAGGAGGTGTAGCCCTTCCATGTTTTCTTATTCCAGTAATCTTAGCCCTTGGAGAGCTGGGGAGAGGACCGAAATCAACTCTGCAGGCCTTTGATTGCTGCTCCCAGTGACTGGAGAGAGTCCTTCTTGACCATCTGCTCCTTATTATTTCTCAAATAAGTGGAGGAGTGAGGAATATTATACCTGAACTCTCCCATTGTGTAGGCAGGTCTGTGGAGGAGTACACGATGGTTGATCAGGTGCAACCTCACAGGAGGCAGGACGTATTTCTCCCTTTTTGGATTCAAAGTCTATGGAATCAAGATTTTTGAAAGGTTGATTTGACACTGTCCATATATATAATGTGCCTAAAGAGTTGCAAATCTTGTTAATTACTTAAGCTGCAAGCAGGCGTATCTGTTTCAATCATTTACTGCTTCACCCGGGTTGATGGGGGGCTTGAATGGGACTCTTGGTGATCGTGGTTGCTGGCTTGCTCATTTAAAACATAAATCTAAAAATGCCCACCCGCCCCTGACCAGCCAGCGTCTCATCAAGGAAAGAAAAAAAATGTACTGTATGTGTTTTCTCCTGTAGCAGGTTGCCTGATTTTTCTGCTTGCTACATATGTGTATACCAGCCAGGTGATGAGTTAAACCTATTCTAAATCCATGCCATGATACACTCTGTTTTTTTTTTAATGTCTCTTGTAGTGTGGGTCAATTCTGTAATTCTACTGAAAAAAATAAATCATGAACATAGCTTACAATGGTCAGTTTGGGATATAGGTGTTCAACACAGTTGCAAATATATTCCACTACTGTCTCTCATGTTTTCGTTTTCTTTTCTGTTCCCCTTTCCTGGCAAGTCAAGGGACTGTAAAGTGATGGGTGATCCTGAAGGCGCTTCTAGGAATGGCATCCGAGCCAAATACCTGAATCTTGCTGCATTGACAATGGGCATCGTGTTCTTAATTGTCTCCATTACCATGATTGCTACTGGCGTTTCACTCCTCCATCGACAGCTACAGAAGGTTATAGGCGACTTCCATGAATCGAATATGGAACCTTGAATGGCCAATAAGAAATATACCTAGAATTTATTCTTCTCAGCATTGTTAGAAATTTTTCTTCTATGTTATACCTGTCTTTTGGTTTCACTTGAAAGGAATGAGGCATTCTACAGAGAAGTTTAATAATATACGTGGAAATGCAAATACAGTATGCATATTCATTCCTAGAGCTTTATAGCCATTGCTTATATAATAATATCAAACTGAGATTTGGATAATCATCTAGGGCAAAACACTTCTGGAAAAGCACAAAGTGAATGATGGCTTCTGTATTCCAAGATTTCAGTTTGTGACTCCCCCCCCCCAATAACTCATGAGAACTATAATTATAATTGTTTTCTGTTTAATTTTTTTTCAGTATTTTCACAATTTCCTTGCATGACATTTGTTTCAATTTTTCTCTTTCCATATGATGTCCAGAGTGAATTTGTATCAAATAAAATTATTTTGATTCTGTGTAAATAGTTTCCCTTTTGGTTAAAGTCTTCAGAGATGAAACATTCAGGATTCACATTGTAAGTTTTTCAACTCAATGTTATTGTTTTTTCTTGCTTTTGTTTCTTAAAACTCTATGCTAGTTATTATAGGCAGCTGTGTGCATTATTTATCTGCAGCTATTTGAATAGAAAGAGCTTTCAAAATGAATGAAAAAAACAGGCTATGTAAGTATGAATGTGATTTGATAAAGAATCACAAGTTCTAAATATGGAGAAACTAGGAAAAACCTTGCAGGTTTTTATGATAAAAATGTTTTCAACATTATTGAAACTACATTTTCAACGTTATTGGTAGTCCACCGTTGACACCTGTTCATTTAATGGAGACAGTTTGGTGCCAGGTCTCCATTAATTACATATTTTAGAAAATCAAAGGTATTGGAGGTGTATTGAATAATTTGGGGTTTCCCTCACAAAAAGTCACCAGTTTGCCTGGCTTTGCAAAACTGGTAAGCAGTTGTCATGTTTTTGTTAGTATGAATGCAGTTAATTGGGGGGTTGTTCTGTACTTACATCTTATAAGAGCTACTACTTTCGCCTTGTTATATTAGTATTATTTATTGATAATTAAAGCCATCTCAGAGTACTTCTTGCTTATCTTTATATTAGTATTATTTATTGATAATTAAAACAAAGCCATCTCAGAGTAGTTCTTGCTTATCCTTGATGATTCCGTGGGGAGCCGTATTTTCACATATGAGTTCTTTTAGTATCCTTGACTAGGCTGGTTCTTCAGATTCTCTTTCTCAAAATATAATTTCAGGTATAGGCAGAGAGATCGTAGAAGATAAAAATGCAAAGGATTAATTTAGTATTTCCTCAGTCTGTCTCTCTTCTTTTACACATTCAAAGTAGTTTCCCGAACATCTTTCTTCATGCGAAGGATTTAATAATTGTTATTAGTCACTGGTCTTAATGGTACCAAAAATACTTTTTTCACAACCTCCTTGCATTTCTTTTGTACAACTTTGTTTTCATTATTTCAGCCAGCGTACAATTTTCTGAAAGAAGATTTTTTTTCCTTTGAGAGCCTTGTTGAACTTGCTCATCCATCAGGCAGTGGATCTCTTGGACTTGGTGTAGTCTGCTCCCTCTTCTGTGCTATACATTTTAGTTTCTCTTATTGCGTTTTGGAGTGCCAAGTAGTACAGGTGGAAAGAAAGTTTCTCGCTTCAAGCGGCTTACCATGGAAATGTTAGCCCTGCCTGTGCTGATTTTTGTAGGTTCATCTCACTGCTGCCACAAATGGATTTGATGCCATTCTTCTAACGCTTTGGAGTCCCAGTTCTTATCTTGGTGTTTTATGTTCGTGATTGGAATTACATTGTTCTCATGCTCTGTTTCATGTAACTGTAGTTAGTATGCCACAATGATAAGAAACACACTTTAATTTTTAAAAATCCTCCTGTTTACACAACCAGAGAGATTACAGCTGAAATTCAATAGGAAGTTGCAACTAGCATAGGCCCTAGAATCTTGCCCATTTTTAAAACATTGCTTTTTTCCAGTGTCTCATGTTTGTACTTAGACCTATACCTGAAAAGAGTTAGGCTATAGTGGAATAGTTACTCTGGGTATGCAGGGCATTTGCCTAAGCATGGGAAGAACATGGGGGGGAATGGCCTTGATGGAGATATTTGGCAGACCGTTTGTCCAGGTTTCCCTTCAGCTCAGGAAAGCTTAGGGAATGTGGAGAGGTCTACTGGATCCAGTTGGAATCATGAGTGACCTTGGATCCAGTTCACACCCACTTAGGTGCCCGTTGTTGTCCTCGTTCATCTGAGATACTTCTGTGGAACCGGCTTCAAAGCCGGGCATGGTATGGGCTGCACGGAGGACGTGAACTCTGTTCCGGCCGTTCCTCTGGAGGAGGCAGCTGAAGACCTTCTTGAAACCTTTCCGGAAGTGCTTGGAGACCAAGGCGTAGACGATGGGGTTGAGGCAAGAGTTTGCGTAGGCCATGCAGTGAGAGAGCAGCCGGAAGGCGTAGGTGGTTTGGTTGAAAGGGAAGTCCCCATACAGGTAGCGGAGTATGACCACATGGTAGGGCAGCCAACACAGGCAGAAGAGGACCGTCACAATGATGATCATCTTGGTCACTTTGCGCTTCGCCTTCTTCGACTCGGACATGTTCTCCAGCGGGTCTATGGCGGTCCACAGATACTTAATGGTACGGGTGTAGGAGAGGCTGACGATGAGGACTGGGATGACGTACCCAAAGGTGAAGGTGCTGGTGTCCATGACCTTGCGCTTCCACTCTTCCCACCCTGGCACGCAGATGTGGCTGGTCTCCCACTCAATCAGGTCGTAGTAGCTCAGGTAGGGCCCCGAGAAGATCACCGAGAGGCTCCAAATGACCGCCATTGCCGCCACGGCATTGCAAGGGGTCCTCAACTCTCGGGAACGCAAGGGGTACCGAATGGCCAAATACCTGCCAAAAGAACAAAAAGAGGGAGAACACAAGTTGTAATGGCTGAGGACGACCCAATAGTATAAGTTCGACTGGACAACACACCTGTGACCTCCAGGACGCCCCGTGTGGTCCCCGGCCCTGTTGTAATAATAAACTGCCGAGCTGGAAGGGACTTTATAGATCATGAAGTCCTGTCCCTGCCAAGGAGGCCCAGTGGGGGAATCGAACTCCTAACCTCCGGCTCTATGGCAGGTACCTAAAGCAATTTCTCTTCGTACAGTTGGGGGAATCGAACTCCCAACCTCCGGCTTTATGGCAGGTAGCTAAAGCAATTTCTCTTCGTACAGTCGTGTTAAAGGCACCGCCATTTTTCTGACTGGTCCAGAAGAGAAACCATAAATAACATGGGCAGCTGCCTCAGCTGAGAGAGCTAAAGATTCTAAGTATCCTGATCATGGTCTCTTGAACATCTACCATATTTTTCCGTGTATAAGACGCCCCCATGTATAAGACACCCCCACTTTTCTAAACCAGAATTAAGAAATCTAAGTGGTGTTTAGCAAGTGTAGGGGGGAAAGGGATCAAAGCGCTGCAGGATTGCTTTGATCCCGGCTTTCCCCTCCGTTTGTTTTTGTTCTCTCCTCAGCTTAGTTCCGTGGATAAGATGACCCCCAATTTTTAGTCTAAAGGTTTTAGACAAAAGTATAGTCTTATACACGGAAAAATATGGTAAATCTCACCAAGGTGTTTGCAGGAGTTGGTCGGTTCCAGCCATTTCCTCCTGTTCAGCTGATTTTTCTTCCCTAAAACTACATTTTGGCTTTGTTGTCCATAACTTGGAGGTGTTCCTTGGTGCAATAAACACCTAAGGCCCATAATCATCTTGGCATCCCCCCCCCCGAGTACAGGACAGGTCGGATAGCATCACCTGCAGAGATATAATAGTAATAATAATATTGAAACTACAGAGCTGGAAGGGACCCTATGGATCATGCCAAGCTTGGCATCCTTTTTCCTGCTGGCAAGGCAGGCAGGATGTTGTGCAGCCGTCTCGGGCCATTTCCTGGCTTTATGAATGGTGGGTACAGAAACGCAATATCCCACATTCATAAACTGGAGATTTCTGAAGAACTGAGTTCGAATTCTGGGCTGAGTTAGTGCCCTTCCCTGAAAAGGAGCCTCAGTTGCCTCTCCAGACTCCAAACTCCACAGGGGATGCCAGGAGAGCGAAAGGCTTATACACCCGCTGTCGCAGTGTCGTAGATAGAGTTGTGTCGCACAAAGCCCAAGGCGGGCGCCGAGATGTGTTGGTCACCTGTCCACAGAGACCGCGGCCAAGGTGAAGCTGCTGGCATACATGGTGAGGTAGATGAAGAAGTGGACCGCCTTGCACATGAAGGAGCCGAAGACCCAGCCTTCCAAGGAGTAGATGGTGGCCTGGAAGGGGACGCAGAAGATGATGAAGAAGAAGTCGGCCAGGCTGAGGTTCAGGATGAAAAGGTTGGTGCTATTATGACCCGTCTGTCCGTTGCGCAGCAGGACGGCCAGCACCAGGCTGTTGCCGACCGTGCCCAGCAGAAAGATGAGGGAGAAGACCACGGGGACGATGATGCTGGCCGGGCTGAACGGGTAAGCGTCGGAGCCGTTCCAGTGCCCAACCAAGCCGGCAAAATCTTCATGTTCAGTCATTGTTTTTTAATCTGCGGACAAAAGAAAGGAGACAGACTCTTGTGTTGCTTTTTTTTATAAAAAGGGTATCATCTTATAACTCAACGCAGAGATAAATAATCTATAGGGTGCCTCAAGAAAAGGTTGAAATCTAAAAAAGCCACAGTGGCACAATGGTTAGAGGGCTTGGGAGACCTGGGTTCAAATCACCATGAAACCTGCTGGAGTTTTTGCAACCACGCATGCTGCCTTTAGTAGATCTGGTAAAGGGAGGGACCTTTCTGGACTGGGCTGACTGTCAATCTATCCGGTACTAACCAATCATTCCTTTCCTGCCTCTGAACGCAAAGAGAGCCCTCCTTCTCTGCTCTGTCTCTCTTTCTCTCTCTAGAGTCTGTTGAAGTCTGTTGCTGAAAGCAGTCCCATTTGTCACTTGGATTTCTCTGCTCTGTCTCTCTTTCTCTCTCTCTAGAGTCTGTTGAAGTCTATTGCTGAAAGCAGTCCCATTTGTCAGTTGGCCGTTTGCTCTGTTGAACTTTTTATTCTTTCTCTTGCTAATGTCTCAGGGTCAGTTATTGAGACTGTAATTGTTAGTGAATGAGAAAAGGGGTGGACTACTTCAGGGAACTTGAAACTAGTCTACTCTGTGAATCCCTGCATTTGTGCTGCGCAGCTAGAGGACTTCAGCCAAAATCCATGGCTCTGCAATCATCTAGCCCAAAGTTACTCCTAAAAATCCAACTGGATGGCAACAGGCTAGGATCTACCCGGTTGAACTCCCCTTTCTCTTCAGGATCCCTCATGTGCCCTATCAGAAAAGGCTTTAAAAAAATTATGTTGTGAGCTGGAAATCAGACTCCTGCTTCTGTGGAGCATGGTCCAAGAGATACCAAATTAATATCCCAGCCTAGACTTTAAAAAAAACTAGGAGTTATAAATATTGACTTGCGAGTGTTAGTCAAAGCACATCGGTTTCTCCCGGGGACACAGATTTTAATCCGACTGCTTGGCCGTGGAAAAGAAATACTCAGGGTTGATTTGTGCCGGAAGGAAAACTGGTCCGATATTTGCTCTTCCGCCTCTAACCGTGTTGGCTTTAATGCTGGTGCTTTTTCATCCTCTCGGCTGTCTCGGCAACATGATGGATGATGGGCAAACAGAGCCGAACCCTCTCTGGGAATAAGATTCCAGGGGTAAATCAACACGCTTGCCAAGAAAAAAATCAGTTTTATTGCTCTGAAGAAATAGATGCTTCCCCCGCGCTCATCCGTCTCCCTGTTTCCGAGTTCTTTTCCACTAAGTTAACACCTGTGTTATTTGCACAGCGGAGCCCATCTCTCTCGGTGCACGGATCTGAAACAGTGATTTTAGATATACCACGCCTGATGTGCTGAAGCTGATACGGTCTGGAGGAGACCCGAGTTCAAATCCTCGCCCAGGGCGTGATCTTGGCCCGGGCGTTGTTTTTCTGTCTGTTTTACTGACTTGATCAGGCAGTTATCAAGCCAAAAATGTTGTAGTTCAAAAAAAAGGAGGGTTGTTTTTAAGTTGTAGGCAAGCCGGCCCTAATGTTGGGCAGGATGAGACGCCTGCCTCTGGCAGCAGGTCCCAAGCTGCTGGAAGCATCAAGTTAACAATTTTCTCAACTAGGAAAACGGTATCTTGCCGCTCTCAAAGCCTGGGAAGGTTCTTTTATGAACTACAACCATGTAACCAGAACTTTTGGGCTACTGGTTCCCCAAAAAGGAACATTTAAAAACCCTGGGTAAGGTGATGAATGGTCTGCTTGTTTTGTTTGAACTTTACTGGAGCTGTCCCGGGTGCTGAAACCTATTTCCAAAAATATCCCCATCTCTAAAAGAACTTAAGCACCTAGGATAAATCCAGTACCTCCAGTAAAGTTCAGACTAAAACCCAGAGAGGATAATGTTGAGAAGGGGATGCAGAGAGAACTATGTCTGCCATATTATCCTCCACCCACTCAGAGCAAAACAAGGCTTGGAAAAGTTATGATTCTGGACTAAAATCACCAGGATGCTGACTCTCAGTGGAAGGTGGTCTATTAAGGTCAATGAGCCCCTGACCCACACCAGAGGAAAAGGGTCAGGGCCCCATGGATGTTCCATTCCTGCTAGGCTCTTGGTTTCACATTGTGGCCATGCCAGAGGCTTCTGGAGTGATCACACGGAAAAGTCACGTTCCCCAACCTCTGACTGGTTTGTGTGGCAGCAGGGCAGACCTCGCTGGAGCGGAAACACCTGAAGTGTGAACCCAGCCGAATAAGCCAGGAGAAGGGAGCCTGCTGTGTGTTCCTTCTCACCTCGCTTCGGGCGAGTTACACCAAACTTACAAGTAGAATTGAATCCAGGAGCAACGTTTTCATCTGTTGTTCCAGAAGTGTCGAGCTGCCGCTGGCTCTCCTTGTTAGCACCTCCTTCCTGCCAAACCCTTCACCGCTCAATAACAGCCAAAGAGAAAACTCCGTAACAGCTACACGAAAACATAGACAAGCTTCCCCCCCCTTTTTTTAAAGGTGTCAAGCAATTATTTAAATGGATAAAGGCAGGGCCGTCCCCAAGCATTTCGCTGCCTGAAGCAAAGCACAAGGTGGTGCCACTGCTCACCACTCTGCCCAAGGTCATATCATTTGTAAGACGGCTAGTACACAAGTGGCTACACTTTGTGATTTGTAAGCAAAATTTATGACACTTTTCGGAAATCAACAAGCACGCACGCACGCACGCACGCATGCACGCATGCATGCATGCATCTACCTACCTACCTACCTACCTACCTACCTACCTACCTACCTACCTACCTACCTACCTACCTACCTACCTACCTACCTACCTACCTACCTACCTACCTATCACATTTTTACCTCCATCTTTCTCCTTTTAAAAAAAGGGACCCAAGGCAACTATCTCTCTCTCTCTCTACGTATATATATATATATAAACCGTAAATGATTTTAAAAGGAATTAATAACGCTCTATTTGAAAGGTGAGGTAAAAACATGCCAAAATAAATATTAAAAGCTAAAAACAGTAAATGATTTTAAAAGGAATTAATAATGCTATATTTGAAAGGTGAGGTAAAAGCATGCCAAAATGCAGACCAAGAAGCAACAAAATATAAACCACCCTGTTTATTGCCTCCTAGACAGTTGGTCACTCACAATATTAGCTTAATTAATAGCTTAATTAAAGACCTTATACAAGTGGTTTATCTTAAAAAACAAAACAAAACCACTTCACAGCAATGGGGAAAACACCATCCCTAAATATGAAATACATAATCCCTTTGCAATTAAACAATGTGAACTCGAGATAAAGGGCTGCTGTCAGTTTCCTTGATTTCAACAGTGGAGGTGTTTTTTTTGTGTTTTTTTTGAAAAAAATAACATTATGTTGATCCCACCTGGATTATCTTCCAGGAACAGGTCAAAATGAATTTTTCTCTACATGCATCAGCCAACGTCAGTCATAGCAAAGGCCTAGGGACTGGGGCAGTGGCAGGATGTTATACCCCAAAAAGTCAAGAGAAAGACACACACACCCACTCCTGGTCACAAGCTGTGCCTTGCGATAGTTATTCCTAGCCATGACCAAGGCCCTTCGTTCCCGAGAAGCCTCAGCCGAAAAGGGGTGCCCATTTTGCCTCACAGACATGGTTAGAGACAAAAATTTCAAGGTAAGCTTTGTAGCCTTCACCTCTCCATGCCTAGCAGGACAAAGTTCTCATTTCTCCAAGAAGTGGAGGGGAGGTGGACCTCAAGGACCTCCCATTCACCTCTCCATGCCTAGCAGGACAAAGTCTGACAGTTCTCATTTCTCCAAGAAGTGGGGGGAGGGGGTGGACCTCAAGGGCCTCCCGTCCCGAATATTTATAGGATGTTTGTGAAGTTCAGTACATGGGACAGTATCTTGTTTGGAGCATAATGGATATTGTGGAAGCTTTTTCTGTTCTCCAGCATCACCTGGGCGGTGCAACGAGTCGCACAACTCATGGTGCAACTAGTCTCACAACCACTGCAAGACCGGGCATGTAACACAGAACCCCCCTGGAGCATCCGGGGTTCTCCTTGACCCGTCTTCACCCGTTCCATAAGAGGACACGATATTGGCCATTCTCGTTACACGAAAACACACAAAAGAAATTTCTCGGCCATCGTTAAGGGTGGCTTGCAAAATCATGAAAACTGCACAATAATCCAGGGTCGTAAAAGTGCAGATTTGAGCCACGGATAATTGCTTCTCTGTCCACCTGGCAGATCTAAGACTTGCAAGGAAGGAGGCGAAAATGGCAGCAATTCTGGAAATTACAATCCAAAAATATAACTTGTCCAAGTTGTGATTTGTTGATGGTGATTATCATAATTACCTGTATTTTTGTATTGGGTTTTTTGGGGTGGGGGTCCATCAGGGGGAGGTCCGGAGTCTCCTTGGAATAAGAACAAACAGAAGTATGGCGTAACCCTTCAAGATTTACCCTCGGACGTCTTAACCTCTCCCAAGAATCCCCGATTCTTTCCAAGCATTCGTTCCACGTGAACGAATTTGAGCTGGTTGCAGCCAGCGAGTCTGGGTTCCCATGTTAAATCTGTTTCTTGGCATTTAGAATTACAACCAAACAGCTGTAAAACAACCTCAGCAGCTGTAACCCAAGAGGTAATAAAGAAGACCATTGTACGACGAAAAGCATTGTGATTCCTCGAACCAATAAATGGTTACAACCATCGCAATGAATCTGACCGTAGGAAAAAGGGTCACGCAGGCTGGGAGATGCTTGGAGTCATTATGCAAAAAAAACACTAACTTTTCTTAATTTTGTAATTAGTACCTAAAGCTGTAAGGTCATGGATCTAGTTCCGAGGTGGCTTCCAAGGGCTGCCCCCGATTGATCGGACTGTCGTAGCCCAGCTCGGCTTGGGAATCATTGCCAAAAGTTAATCTGAATTGCCCATTCGAAGCAGCAGTCTAAATGCTCGTCCCCTGCATCGCTTGAAATTCAGCTCACATCCTCACCTTGCATGCTCTCCTATTTTTATTTTACATGAGAGCTGTGGATATATGGACACCTTGCAGTTCATGGCCAAAGGATTTTCAAAAGCAGTTTTCTATTTACGGTGGTTGGTTGAAAGCGTTCTGTGCATAATGTATCCAAAGTCCACATAAACCTCGAAAGGAAGGAAAGTCACAGGGGAAAAATATACAGTATACGTGATTTGGCATGCTTGCTATTTCTGTTAATTAAAATCAAAATCTGTCCAGCAAAGAAGTCCATGCCCGTAAAAGATGATGGGCTTTATTTAGGAGCACTAGCCTTGAGTTACAAGGCATTTGAGGAGATAGGCTGGCATTATCATCCTTAAGTATATGTATGTGTGTGTTGCAGAAAAGTGGCTTTGGTCCTGAGACCCCGTTCTCTCTGGCCAGTCTCTTTCACAGGGGGAGGAAGGGGTCGTTGTGCCACTTCTGTGCATGCGCAAAGTGCTTTTGTTCAGTGCTGAGTTTCCAAATTAGACGGGGTGGGGGCAACTTCCAGGAAGAAAACCGCCACCATGACCTCTCATTTTTAGAAAGTAAGCCACTGTCTACAGGTGCCAGGAGAGAGATGCGCTTTGAGATAAAGTTGCCACATTTTTTCATGTCCTCTGCTCTTCTGCTTCAATCTTTTTCTCTCCTCTTTTTCTCTTCCTCATCTTGTGCATGCGCACACAAAATCTCTTGCAAGTGAACACAGAGATGCACATGCACGTAAACAGAAACCCTGCCAACCCCCCTCTTAGGTGACCGGGGGGGGGGTCTGCTCATAAAAGCAGAGGAGCATTCTTTGAAAAAGGTGGCCATTCTGCCCAAACCGCTCCCCAGTTCTCCGGCAAGCGAGCCCTTGGGTCAAATTATTTAACTAGATGTGAAAAACCAGACGGCTTCCGAAAGAGATTGGATAAATTCACCGGAGGACGCTCAATCGACCACGGGTTGGGATAGCTATTGATGGAGCTTCCATGCTCCGTGGCAGTCTACCCCTGACATCCCTTTGCTGGGGAGCAAACTGGGGAAGAAGGGACTGAAAGCTTTCCCTTAAGCCAAGGGGCAGACCAGACCCAGCTGAGAAACCAACACACTTTTAAACTCACAATGCCGCACCGTTAAACCTAGAACCTCTGGCGAGATGCTCTTTAAAGCCATGGCAAGAGGGAGAAGATGCTCGCAGCCATCACCTACCTTCCTCCAAGATGCTGTGCGCCTGTCAGCTCTTCGGTCCCCTCTCCTGCACTGGCTCACAGGACCCTCTTGTCCTGGTCTAGTGCCTCCGCAGCCGGTCGGCGGGCAGGACGCTGGGGCCACCCAGGCACCGCAGGCTTGCTTGGGCAGAGCATGGCTCGAGATGTTCCCGGCTGAAGCTGGCTTTTCTCCTCTCTCAGTTCTCCCTCTTCTCTCTCCGATGTACTTTGTGGCTCTCGCTGCCACAACCTTCTCAGGCTGGCTCGCTCCTCCTCCTCCTGCTTTTTTCTGCCTCTGTGATTCCACTCATGCATTTTTCTCTCTCTCTCGCTCTCATCATCATCATCCACTTTCACCCTGCCCCTGGGACCCAGAGCACACCTCTTCTATTCCCCTCCAGTACATGGTGGTAACTTTCGAATTTTATTTATTTATTCGATTTTTACCCCGCCCCTCTAGACAACGTCTACTTCAAAGCCCGGGTGCTTATCATGATAGACCCCCCACCGCCCCCAGCCACCCTTACAAAGAGTCCTTGGACATTTAAGAAGCTGCCACCTTGAGAATCCTTCCCCCCCCCACCCTTCCATGCTATGTGCATAAGATGTCCTTCCATCTAATGCCGTGGCTTTCAAACATTGACTTACTGGCCACTGACGCGGCTCCCCCAATATGATACTTTGGGCAAGGGGTGGGGAAGGGAGGAATAGGGGCGCCCGGCCAAATCCTCCAGGGCACCCCAGGCTGGGTTTATTAGAGGCACCCCGAGGTGCTGCAGGACACAGACTGACCATGGCTCCCCCAATATGATACTTTGGTCGAGGGGTGGGGAAGGGAGTAGGGACGCCCGGCCAAATCCTCCGGGGCACCCCAGGCTGGATTTATTAGAGGCACCCCGGGGTGCTGCAGGACACAGTTTGGGAACCACTGACCGAACTCCTATTCTAGCATCTTCTGCCTTGCAGGACCTGCTTTGGCTGAACCTCTGGACACTCGCCTTTGCTGGTGGCCTGCTTCTCTGAGGGGTTGGACTGGATGACCGTCGAGGCCCCTTCTAATGATATAATGGGACTAGATTTGGCTTGACGGGCAGCCCCAGCCGTGCAAGAATGACGTCGACACACGATGTGGCCACTGTGTCCATTGCAGAGAGAGAGAGAAGAAGAAGAAGAAGATCAGTATTTTAATAATCGTTGCACATTTAAATGGAAATCCTACGCATCTCGCCGTGCCACAGAAGATTGTGACTTGACTTGTGTGCCCGTTGTTTTGATCGCTTACCCAGAGAATCATTTTTGAAGAGCATTTCTTGGTTGTTTACCCTTAAACTGGATGTGGGACTGGTCTCTCCTAACCAGAATGATAGAATCCCTCTTGAGCAAGCTTGTGTGCCCCCCTGGAAAGTAGAATTCACAGTCACTCTAGCTTCAGAAACCCATCATCATCATCATCATCATCATCATCATCATCAACTGTCTGGTCAATTCTGACTTCTGGTCAAAAACCGCCAGCCACTCCAATGTCGACTGACTCTTCAAAGGGAGAGAAGACACAGACGTGGCTTTGCCCTTCCCTCCTTCTGGGGAAAGGAAACTCTGCAGCTGGCCCAAGGCTACCCAGGCTGGCTCTTCTCCCAGGAGGCCCAGTGGAGATTCGAACTCCCAACCTCTTTAGCTCCACAGCCAGAGACCTAAACCACTGAGCTCTCCGACCAGCTTGCAGGAACCAAAAAGCTAACAAATTGTAAAAAGCTTATTCTGTCTAGAGCTCAACCGAGAAGCAGACACCCAAAGACATAAATTCTGAACATCTGCTCGCCCTGTTCCTCTCATCTGTTCGCTGTTGACAAGGCACTCTTTTGACGGTTCTGATATGGGGACACCATATTTATTATAACAGCAAAGATGCTCACCGACATAGATTTTACATACAAATCAAACCTGGTTGTTCACAGACCTCTCTCTTTCTTCTCCCTTCCTTGTGCAGCCATCTATCGAACGGCAAAGGATCATTTTACACCACACACACTTTTTTTTCTATATTAAAATGCGGGAAATGCTTCTTTCACACCTACCCCCCAAGGCACTATCTTCCAGCTTTCCTGCCTTTAATCTAAGGAAGAAGGAAACAAACATATTACATTTGCATTCATAGGCGTACACCAAGGACTCTGACTTAACTCACAACTGGAGGGGGGGGAAGCTTAATTTTAATAGGGTCTTGGGACTTGCTACCAGATGTGGGAGTCAAACCTAAAGGTTTCCCATCACCCCTGCCTTCGTCTGATTACTGATCCCCAGTTATAGTAGAAACACCGAATCACTGGGATTAGATATGTGTTGGTTTAATCATTCAATCAATTGATTCAATGTATTTACTCTGGTTAGAATCCAATAATCACAGAATCATGGAGTTGGATGGAGCCTCTAAGGCCATCCAGTCCAACCCCCCTGCTCAAGGCAGGAATCCAAATCAAAGCAGATCGGACGGAGGGTGGTCTGATTTTCTCTTGAATGCCTTCATAGAGTTGTAGCTCTCACCACCCCCTGAGTTTCCTTATGGTACCCCTCTAACAGTTAAGAGGTTTTTCCTGATATTCAGCCGAAATCTGGCTTCCTGCCGCTCGAGCCCATTATTACATGTCTAGCACCCTACTTTGTGGAACAGAAATGTTTTCCAACAGACTTTAGATTCTGGGCACTAGAAAGGATAAATACTAGAGTTTATAAAATCCTATGGAAGACTGGAATAGAATGGATTGTAAAACCGAAGACTCAAGTCAGGTCCCTACGGATTTAAACACAAAATTGGATTCCCCACCCCCACCCCTTCTCCTCTAAAAGCAAGATTCGGAAGTCTTTTAAAACTTCTCCTGCTTCCTAACCCAGATAAGGCGTCCCTTGAAATTAATTGGCATGGCTCAGCCGTACATATCTCACAGACAGAATGAAAATCTCGTTGTAGCATTTCTTCACTTGTGTCAGGCACCAGTGAATTGGTTTGGAGGCTCTGTGTAGAAACTTTAGCAGACTGCTTGCTTTAATGCAAAGTTCTTTGATCCAGTGCGTAAATCACTGGATGTGCATTTAATTTGCAGTGTTGATAGACATGTATTTGTGTGCGCTTTTATAGTGTCTTGCAAACAAGTCTTCACATGCTGCTGGGCTGAAATGTGTCAAACATTTTGAAGGCACTAGACATTGATTTTCCAAACACCTGGAATAGCTCAATAGGGAAAGCATCTGGGTTTGAGGGTTCAAATCCCCACTGTGTGCCCCAAGAGAGGGGCCAGGCCAGCCGAGATAGCCTGGAGTGTGTGTGGCTGATGGGGTTACATACATGCCTTGTCATCGGAGCCCCACCAGGAGGAGAAAGTGGGAAATCATCAGGTAGTTTGTAACAGGAAAATGCAACCTTGGGTAACCCAGCAATCCTTAGACTGCAGCTCCCAGGAATCCCAGCCAGGACAATGGTTGGCGAAGGCTTCTGGGAGTTGTAGTCCAAAAACACCTGGGAGACCCAAGCTCTCAAAGGATGAGTTGCAGCCTTTCGTATTTTTCATTTCTCCTTTTCCAACCCATCTTGCCTTATGATCCATCCACAAGGAGATCCACGGAGGCCCCTCAGCTCCCGCAGAGATCAGCCGGCACCTGGAGGTTTGGATAGGAGGGGCCTTTCTGGGCCGGGATGACTGTCAATCAATCCAGCAGTAAACCAATGGTTCCTTCCCTGCCTCTTATTTTAAAGAGAGCCCCACCTCTCTGCTTAAATGCCTTTTTTCCCTTCTATTTTTCAGTCTGCTGCTGTTAGCAGTTAGAATGCCATCTGTCTGCTGTTATGTGTACGTAGTCTGCAGGAGTCTGTGAGGCTGGCCGAGCTGTAATTTTTGGACAGTATGCGGTTATTGGTCGGTTCAGAAGTGTGAGTAAATGAAACCCTTTTATTCTTTCTCCTACCAACTCTCTGACTAGGTTATTGAAACTGTAAGTGCCAGTTGATGAAACAATAAGAGGTGGTCTACTCTGAGCAGTCTTGAAACTAATTCAAGCAGAAGACCCTACACTTCTTTTTTCACTTGCCTTAAGATCCATCCACATAGAGATCCAGGGAATCCCCGCAGTTCCCTGAGATACCAGCTTAGCACTTGGGAACCTAACAAACCTGTGTTAGATCCTGGAAACCTAGCAAACCCATTAGATCCTTTGTCTCTTCATAGGCTACCTAATTCAATGCAGGGTGATTTGTTTCATTCCCAAACAAAAGGAACCATTCAAAACCACCACCTCCATTCCGACCCTTCCAAGTGATGCTCTGAATTCTGCCTCCTTATTCCGCAAGCTAACCGGAGCAGATCTTTGCAGTTTCCTGCAAAGTCTTCGATCTGCCCCAAACAGCTTCCTCCAGAGGGGAAAAATCATGTCCTGGAAAAACCCGTCCACTCCCTAATGGCCTTGTGAGTGATGTTCTTCTCGGCATCCTGCAGTGGCTGTAATTATGGCACCGTAGGCTGGGTGTGCTTGTGCAGAAGTGTGCCAGCAATAATCTTAATGAAAAGGTGGAATCTGACATCTTAAGGCTCTTATAAGCTGACTGGATACCTCTAGGATTTTGGTCTCTGGCCAAACAAAAGGAACCATTCAAAACCACCACCTCCATTCCGACCCTTCCAAGTGATGCTCTGAATTCTGCCTCCTTATTCCGCAAGCTAACCGGAGCAGATCTTTGCAGTTTCCTGCAAAGTCTTCGATCTGCCCCAAACAGCTTCCTCCAGAGGGGAAAAATCATGTCCTGGAAAAACCCGTCCACTCCCTAATGGCCTTGTGAGTGATGTTCTTCTCGGCATCCTGCAGTGGCTGTAATTATGGCACCGTAGGCTGGGTGCGCTTGTGCAGAAGTGAGCCAGCAATAATCTTAATAGAAAGGTGGAATCTGACATCTTAAGCCTCTTATAAGGTGACTGGATACCTCTAGGGTTTCGGTCTCTGGCGTTGGGAGTTCAATTCCCCCACTGGGACTCCTGGGAGAGGAGCCAGCCTGGGTGGCCTTGGGCCAGGTGCCTGGCCCCAGGGCACCCCCTAGAGGAAGGGAAGGGTAAAGCACTCCTGAGTATTCTCTGCCTGGAAAACTTTACAAAATAAATTAGAATTGACTTGATGGTATGTGATTATGATTAAGGCTTTTATCTCCAAATCAATAAACTCCAAATCAAAAAAACCCTCAGAGATACCTATCTTAA